ACATAAATCAACTAACTTACTATTGTGTCATAAAGTAAGAAAAGTTCTATAAAACTTAATTCTGAATTGAAAATATTTTCAAGTGCTAGACATAGGAACTAAATGTCATTAGATAATAAAAAATGAAAATAACAGATTTGTATGATCAGCAAACCACACACGAGCCAAAATAAGTTGTGCTGTTGTTAGGTGCTGTTAGATTGGATGACTCATACCATCCCTATGTACAACATAATGGAGTGTTGCTGACCCTGGCCATCTTCATAATAGTTGCTATGCTTGAGCATGTTGTTGCATCCACTGTATCAACCCATCTCCCTAAAGGTCAATTATAAAATTATTCTACTTTTCCAAGCATAAGGTTCTTCTCAATGAACTATTCCCTCCCATTAACAACTTTTCTTTCTTTTTCTTTTCCATTAACAACTTTAATGTAAGTAGGACAATGTCTCACCCTCCTTCTTTCTAAGGAGCATTCTAGTAGTTCTTCCAAGACAGATTTGTTTGTTCAACAAGCAGTCTATGATCTATTAATATTCTTTATCAACACGATAAATTATTCTTTTGTCTTTCTTATTCATTGCCCATCTTTAAGAAGTGTTGAAAATATGACTAGGATCAGGCGACCCTAAATTCCTCAAAGGGACACGTGGTCTTTAATAATACTCTACCCTACAGAATTGCTACAAGTCAGAATCACCTTGGTGGTTATGAGTTCCACTGTTTTTGCAGCACCATTGCTTAATGCAGTACATAGTTTGATTTCTTAACTATTGCTTTTATGATGTTGATGGTGGACCCAGGTAAAATGATATCCTCAACAACATCAATACTTTGCTTTCTAATGACGTAGCTTGTTGGTCTAACTGTGAAGATCTTTTTTTTTTTTTTACATTGAGCTGTAATCCATACTGAAAGGCTGTATTTTCTATCTCCATCAATAAACGCTTCAAAAATTCTCTTGGTCTGTGTGCATTTCAGTGTTTTGTAATTTCCATTCATTGTAACGTCCATAGTTCATTAAGATCCACATAAGCAAATGCCTTTGCATCATCAATAAAACCCTAAAGCATGCTATGAGGTAAACATTTTTTCTGGAAATCTCTGCTTTCAGAAAAGATTGATCTGACCTGCCATCAGCAATGACAGCCCTCATTCCAGGTCCTCTTCTGAACCGACTGGAATTTCTGGAAGTTCTTTGTCAATGTAATAATGCAATCATTTACAAATTATCTTTGGAAAATTTTTGATTTTGTGCTATTTCTCTGATATTGTTTGATAATTTCTGCACTGTTTGATCATCTTTGGAAAGGGCACAAATAGGCGTCTCTTCCAGTTAGTTGGAAAGATAACCATCTTGTAAATTTCAAGGCTTGTGTATTTTGTCAATGCTTTCAACTGGGGTCTTCCTCCTACACTATCAGTTCTTGATCATATCCCCTGAAATTGTTGAATGTTAAAAAAACTTTTTTGGCACAATGATTCTGTACACCTTCCATTTTTTTGGACACTTCCTGTGTCATTCATATTTTGCCCCCCAAATTCTTTAATATTCCATGAGGTTTGAGCTTTTTAAAATTTAAGTTTGGACATATAATTAACATATCCTATAACTTAATGGCTTAAATGTATTGAGAAATGTACAATCACCACTACCATTTATTTTAGAACATTTTCTTCATTCTTCTATTTATAACTCCCTACTTCCCCCCAACCTCCCCTGCCATAACCTTAAGAAATTATCAACCCAGTTATTGTCTCTATAATCTATTTCATATTTCATATAATTAAACACATATCAAAATAACAAAACAAAACCCAACAACAAAATAAGAGAAAAAGCTCAGCTGAAAAGAAAGCAGAAAACAATGAAAACTAGAACAATTATACAATGGATCAAGAGGGAGAAAAGAGGATAAGGTGTTCAATTTCAACCCAACTACATCTGTATTAATCCATTTTCCAATGCCCTCTGTCTAATGGCAAGGCTATTCCAATCCCTAGTCAATAGTAAGAGGGGATTCTCCAGAGGCTAATCCATGTGGGGACCTTGCAAATGGATTTTGGGGTTTTACTGTCGTCCATACTAAAAAAAACTTCACTGCCATGGAGTCGATATTGACTTATAGCAACAAGATAGGAAAGGGTTGCCCCTGTGGGTTTCCTAGACTGACAGCAGAACACCTATCTTTCTGCACATGAGGTGAGAATTTAAGCTCCAATACAGTTCCTTCTTCTGGTCTTGGATTCTAATCCTTACTATCCTTGGATCCCTCAGGCTTATGTACTTCTCCTATTTTTTAAGTCAAGTCTGTAAGACCCCAGACACGATTCCTTCTGGTAGAGATGTGAATCTTTTCCTTCACCTTTTCAGTTTGAGAACTGCGAAGTGTTTTCTGCTCCTTTGGTTTTCTAACTCCATGTCTTCGGGTCTTTGCATATTTCACTATAAACATTTGCCATTTTCAAGCTGCCCTTTAAAATCTTTTCCTCAGCTCTTTTACTTCACGATTTCTTGCTTTTGCTACTCTACATTCAAGAGAAAGTTAGTCTTTTCTAACATTCATTTTGGTCTTCTTTCTCTTCTCTCTCATGTGATCTTTGGCGTTCTTGTTGTTCGATGTCCTTGATGCTACCCCACGACTCATCAATTCTTCAGTCATTAATGGTCGTGATGTTAAATAAACTAAGATGGCCTCTATATTCAGGCAGGATATACTCATGGATATACCTAGTTTCAAGTGAACTTGCTTTAATTTTCTTCAGATTCAATGTGAACTTGCATACGATTAAGATGGCCTGTTCTAAAATTTTCCTCTGGCCTTTTCCTGATGGATAATACAGAACTCCATCATTTCTTCCCATGGATTTAATTCCTATGTATTCCATGTGCATAGTCCATATACATGTGCATAGTTACCTTTAATGTTGTTGGAAAAGGATTATGAATAAAGGCACATGAATAAGTCCTTGGACTTGTAAAATGATGCCACAGGCATTAGTTTTATAGCCAAGGTCCCATTTCCCACCCACAGATCATTCTTTGTTTCCAACGTTTGCAATCTAACCATCAGTAATTATCAGTATATTTTTGATACATTTCATATTGAAGGTTAAACATCTTCAATTTCTTCATCTTTGGCAACACTGCCTTTGTGTTAATTTTAATGATATATGTATTAACTGGTTTTTATTGCAGATATATAAATATAATCCTAACACTTTAGAACTGATGGTGAGATTTTCTTTTTGATGATGAATGCGGCATCATTCCACTTCAATTTATCATCATTGGCCTAGTAGACAATACGATGGTCATCTAAATGAAATTCTAATAAAAGAACCCCTGAAACTCACTGCCATCAAGTCAATTCTGACTCATAGTGACCCTACAAATCAGGGTAGAACTACTCCTGTGGATTTCCAACACTGTAACTTTTTTTTTAAATCGTTTTATTAGGGGCTCATACAACTCTTATCACAGTTCATACATCATACATCAATTGTGTAAAGCACATTTGTACATTCATTGCCCTCATCATTCTCAAAACATTTGTTCTCCACTTATCCCCTGGCATCAGGTGCTCTTTTTTCCCCCTCCCTCCCTGCTCCCCCTCCCTCATGAACCCTTGATAATTTATAAATTAGTATTTTGTCATATCTTGCCTTGTCCGGCGTCTCCCTTCACCCACTTTTCTGTTGTCCGTCGCCCAGGGAGATCCTTGTAGATCCCATGTAGATCCTTGTAATCGGTTCCCCCTTTCCAACCCACTCTCCCTCTATGCTCCCAGCATCACCACTCACACCACTGGTCCTGAAGGGATCATCCGCCTTGGATTCCCTGTGCTTCCAGTTCCCATCCGTACCAGTGCACACCCTCTGGTCTTGCCAGACTTGCAAGGTACAATTCGGATCATGATAGTGGGGGGCGGAGGAAGTATTTAGGAACTAGAGGAAAGTTGTATTTTTCATCGTTGCTACAGCGCACCCTGTCTGGCTCGTCTCCTCCCTGAGCTCCCTCTGCAAGGGGACCTCCAGTACTTTAACTTTTTACAAGAGCAAAAACCCTTCACTTTTTATACATTTGTTTTCTGTGCTTTTATAGCAATACTTTTTGACACACACTTACAGAGGCAGTGAGTTATTTAAAGTGGTTCTACCAGCCACTTTAGGATCTTTTCCACCAAACGATCTTTTCCTGCATGGTGAGGGGAGGAAGATACTGTTAAGATTCCTATGTGAGTAATTGCAAGCAGGATTCTCTGGACTCAGTTCTCTGTGCATTGAGCCTTCTGGATTCAGAAAGCAGCTATATCAGCAGAGGAGCATTAGCAAAACTAGGAAACAGAGCATGGAACAGAGTGATGGAGTTCCCAACCTATGGAGCAAATGAAGCTCAGTGCTTTTGTGCCCTGGGTTGGCTTGTGTAGTAGGTGGCTCTGGCCACTTTTTCAGGGAGCTAGGTTTGCTGACCCCTGGAGCTTGAGCAGCAGGTCTTCAGATTGAGGTTTAAGGTGGAGTGATACATTCCTTTGGGCATTTATTAGCAGACCGGAAAGAACTTTGTAACATGTCCTGATAAGCAACACTACCCTGAGCAAGTCTCACTGGCATTACAACTTGTTTACTTCCTTAATAAACCCTATAATAATGAATATTGTCTGTGAGTTCTGTGTAGGCATTGCATTAGAAATAAGGACCCAGAGAAGTAAAACAGAGAACATTAAGAGAACACAGCCATATACAGTGAGCATAGCTTTTGATATAAACTACAAATACAATTAACTTTATAAATGCATTGACAGCTTTTGAATTCATGATGACGTGCGTGTCATTAATGCTTCCAGGCGAATCAGGTTGAATGGGCCAGTGAGTGAGTGGTGCTGGTGCTGGTGGGAGGGGGAGTTGCCAGGGCGAGGGCGCTACAGACCCATCTGAACTCTGTCCATGGCAAGCCAATGTTCTACCAGATTTTATAGACATATAGATAAATACTTTATTTTTGTCACATCACCGACTGAAGCTGAACAACATGAGATATTGCCACTTCACCCCAAAGTGGTGTTCTTAGTCTGCCCTTTTTGACGGCTCAATGGGTCACTGGCAAAAGGTCCAATGAGTGATTTTAAAAGGGGGACCTACCACATATTTATAATGATAAATTGTTATCTATTTATTCATATATTCCACTGTGACTGAATGCTCTCAAGAGAGTTCAATAATTTGTAAATATCACTATATTTTTGTCTTTCACTAAATGTAAGTAGTAATTTAGTACCCTTTTCAAATTCAGTTATGAGTCAGGTGAAGATGTTGCCTCAAATGGCACATGGCATATTTATTCCACATCTTTAGTTTAAAGATATAATATCATGGTTTACATTGATTTCAGATATGTTCTACATTTTATTTGTTATTGTTTATTGGCTAGCCACAACTTCTGTATGTTTGACTAGGTCTATCACATTTCTATTGAACAATTTTGAAATGTCCCAATCCCCTTTCATGTTGTTTTCCACGCTTTGTTCACTATAGAGGTTCAATAGGACTACAATGCATTTGACTCTTCCGATAGTTCGTCAATTCCTATAAACAATTTTTAAAATCACTTTATTGGGGGCTCATACAACTCTTATCACAATCCATCACAATCCACAGATACATCAATTGTGGAAAGCACATTTGTACATTCATTGCCCCATCATTCTCAAAACATACCTTCTCCACCCAAGCCCTTGGCAGCAGGCTCCTCACTTTTTCCCCTCCATCCCCGCTCCCCGCTCCCTCATGAACCCTTGATAATCCATAAATTATTATTTTGTCCTATAAACAATTTTAAATACTGCATTAAAATATAAAACAAGCAATATATTTAATGTTAAAGATGATGTTAATGTTTAAAAGACTAATATACATTCATGTCTCAAAAATGGCCGCTACCCACCTATCACAGCTATATTATAAATGAGACCTACCTTATTATTTATCACCTTTTAATAAGGGAAAAATAACAACGTTGTTCTATTTAGGGTTGTTGGTACTTGCAGATATACTATCTAGAATGATCATATGATAACCATGTTTGGCTAAACATTGGGAAAAGCTACTTAAGGTTTATAGAAATAATAATATATGTGCTTCTTGAAACTTTTTTCTCCAAATGTGAACATATTCTCTATGGTGAATGTTCTGTAACTTGTCTTTTTATTTAACAAGCACATCTTTCCATAAACTGATACAGATGTATCTCTTTTCACCTTACAAGGCCTATACCATGCGGATGAATATAGCTGGGGAAAAATCCATACCCATAGTGATTGCTCTCACTTTGAATTAATGAATAACTAAAGCGTTCTAAGGAAATCATATTACATTTGTTTCATTCGTCTCCCATTTTTCTAGATAATGTTTCCACACCTTCCCCTTCCTGTTTTCTCTCTCACTCACTCCACATCTAGTCTGCCAGAAATCCAGTTGGCTCTAACTACAACATACATCTAAAGTCTAACTACTTCTCACCTTTCACCATTATTTATTTTGTCTAAGGCACCACTCTCTCTAAAATTTGCCTGGGTGATTTTAAGTTAGATCATGTCACTTTTCTGCTAAAACAAGCAACCTATAAAAAATACATTTGTGAAATGTAGATGGCAACAGGTAAATGTCAAAGTACAGGGGAGCATTAAAACGTTCATAGATTCCGGACATGATCACTGAAGTCAAAGTGGGTGCATAAGCAAGTGTAGTGAAGAAAGCTGATGGTGCCTGGCTATCAGAAGATATAGCGTATGGGGTCTTAAAGGCTTGAAGTCGGACAAGTGGCCATCTAGCAGGAAGCAACAAAGTCCACGTGGAAGAAGCACACCAGCCTGTGTGATGAAGAGGAGTTGAGGGGAACAGGTATTAGAAGTTCAAAAGCAAGCAACCAAATTGACATAAAGAAGCACAAAGTGGAGACCAAAAAACCACCTGTAAGATAATTGTATAGTCCCTCACAGAAGGGCCACACAGAAGGGATGATATATCCAGTGTCCAGTATAGCACCGTTAAAACATATAACAATCCTCTAGTTCTTTAATATTTCCTCCTCCTACGATTATGGTCTTAGTTTTACATTCATGTTCATGTATATAATTAAGATCATTCGATGCATGAAATCCAAGATAGATAAACCTTCAGGAGTTGTAACAGTAGTAATGATTCCCTGAGGGTACAGAAAGGGGAGGGGCTGATAGCAATGATGACAATATAACCCCTCTCGAAGAGAACAAATAACAGAATGGCTGGTGAACAGATACGTTGGATGGTGTGAGATATGGGGTGGGGTGGGGGTGGTAACAATAATATTTAATATTATAACAAGGGTTCTTGGGAGGTAGGGTAGTGGAGGGCGGGGATAAAGAGGAGCTGATGCCAAAGAGTACAAGAAGAAAATGTTTTGAAAATGGTGGCAACAATTACACAATCATGTTTGATCTAACTGAACTATGGATTATTGTAATATCTGTAGAGCTCCCAATACAATGGAGGAAAAAGTTCACAGAAAAATTCTATTATCTTTTAGCTCCCTTTTGTGAAATTGTTTGAAGGCTTCTTGAATTGGGTGACTATCAAATTACCCTCCCTCTATAGGGCTTGTGCCAGTGTACACATCCACCATCAACAGAAAAGAATGCCTGCCTTAACTCAGTGTCACCAAGAGCAATGTATCAAACTTTGGGACACCTAAAAATTCTCAGAAATAAAAAACAGTGTTTCATTTTGGCTTAAATCTGTTTAGGAGGTTGAACTTTTTATATGCTTAGGAATCATTCAGCCTTGGTGGCATAGTAATTATGAACTGGGTTGTGAACTGCAAAGTCAACAGTTCAAAACTACCAGGTATTCTTCGGGAGAAAGATAGGTCTTTGAACTCTCCTCAACAGTTACAGTCTTGCAAACTCACAGGGACGGTTCTACCCTGTGCTATAGGGTCACATTGGCTCGATGGAGTGAGCTTGGTTTGATTGGAAGAACCATTTGTCTTTGTTTTCCTGCAAACAGCCTGTTTAAATTCTTTGCCCATTTTCCTATAGTGTTTTTGACTTTTTATTGTTTTTATATCCAGTTTTACTTTAGGAAATTTAGCTCCTTCTTATCAGTCTGTATCACAAATAGTTATTTTCAGTATTTGTAGTTTCTCTTTTCCTTTATTAATGTGGTCAGATTTATTAGTTATTTCCATTTATGGATCCTAAATTTTCCCCCCTATTTTCTCATCAGTTTTATTAGTACTTTAGCCACATGTCATACAATTCAATAATTCAATTATATCAAGAAGAGTTGTACAATTGTCATCATATTCAATTCTAGAATATTTTCTTCTTCTTTGTAGTTATTGTTGTTCGTGTAATAATTTCCCCCCCCCAATTTGTGGCAAAAATTAGTGTATAGTTTAAAAAAAAATCATTTTATTGGGGGCTCGTACAATTCTTATCACAATCCATACATATATCCATTGTGTCAAGCACAT